CAACAACAACAACAAATTTACAACTGACTCCAAAACAATTCATAAGTACATTTTCCTTTTATCTTTATTCCTCATTCACACTCTCTTTTTCAACTTAAATTGCTCGCCCCTTTTTCATTTTACAACTATACAAAAACAAAAGAAACAGACATTATTCTACTACTCTGTTAAAAGACAGCGAACACAGACATTTTCATCAAAATCACAATTTTGCTTAAACGAACTAAAGCATTAATCCTTTTTACCCTATTCACAAGATAATAAATATACAATGTTGTATTTTCTATAAACGTTCCTTATCGTGTTGTTTCTTCTTGAAATTTGCGTTGTATTTTGTGGGCAGGGTATCCCGTATTAAATTCTCCTTTAATCCGGGTACGCTGAACCACACACACACACACACACACACACACATATATATATATATATATATAGATAGATAGATAGATAGATAGGTATCTCCACAGATTCACAAAAAATGAGCATACCATGATGAAAATATGAACCAAACAATAAAAACAAACTTTTATCGTCAGCATGTTTATATTATTATTAAGTGGAAAGTCAAAAGGACTTTTTTTTAATTATCAAATTATATTTTTTGATACTTTTTAGAAAGTTCGAAATTTTGATTAAATATCTTGTTTTTTTTTTTTTTTTGGCTTTTTTCGTCAGCGGGGCGGGGGGGATTTTAACGTCTATTTTGCGATGAAAAACATTCATTTGAAAATTCTTACAAAAATCAAATAATTGTCAGATTTTAATGAAACTTTCAGGATTTACAAATGAATGGATCTTGATAAAAACTTTTTTTACGTGTGTTACCCCCTCACACACACACACACACATACACACACACACACACACACACACTTATTTAAATTTATGAAATTTTGAGAAATTAATTTTTGTACCGTTTAATGTTTATATTAGTTATACGCAGAACTCATTCGAGAATATTTTATCACATTTTTTTGGTTAAACATGACACCCAGTTACCGAAAATCGGCTCTGAATTGTAAAAAAAATGTAATAAAACTAATAAGACATTATTTAATTAGAAAAGCTTTTAATTGTTTTTATGAATGTGACATATTATAGACACTACAGTTTTAAGAAAAAAACTTTTTCGATGAAGGATGAAATTTTACAAGAATTATTTTAATCTTTTTAAAAATTTTAAATAGAATAATTTATAGAATTTTAAATTTTTTAAATTTCTGTATTAATTTGTGCCGGTTAAGTGATATTGTTATTAAGTAAAAACTATATTTACTAATAATAAAATAAGTATTTTATATTTTTTACAAATATGTTAACCAAGGTAAAAACAAATTAGATAAACTTCCGTTTCTCAGTCAAGCTGTTACACTATCAACATTTTCAATAAACGCCTACAGTCGTGTTAAAAAATGCATTTCTACGATATTTTAAATTTAAAGTAAGTAATATTTGTATCAAATCAGATTAATTAAACTTTAAATCAGCTAATATTTCTGAAATAAAGAGAATTACAATGAAAGAGAATCACATTGTGGTGACAGATGGCAAAAATTGTGTTAAAAACAGCGATTTTAAAACAAAAAACTTTGTAGTACACATTAGTACATTGGTTTTACACGGATTAAGATTATTCTATTTTCTCATATCTCTGTGTCTGTCTTGAAAGTCAACGTTCTATATAATAGTCTGAATACTGACCCATGGCACAAGTGACAAGGTCTGTAACGTTTTAATCGCTAAGATATCGTAACTAAAGATATAAACATGCATGTTATACTTAAATAAAAAGAAATATAGTACATTGTTTTCTTTCTCGTTCTGTCGCTCTCTCTCTCTCCTTCTTTCACTTTCTATCTATCTATCTATCTATCTATCTATCTATCTATCTATCTATCTATCTATCTATCTATCTATCGTTATCCCCCCTCTTTACCTCAATTTCAGCAAAGTACGTTTATTCAAGGAGAATCAGTTGTTAAAATCAATTTAATTTAGAAGAAAAATTTAACTAATTTTCAGACTTCGTCTACCGCTCTTTCGGTGGTAACTGGATAAACAGGCCATCTTTCTTTATGACCTTGCGGAAATGTTTGACTAGGTAAGCAATGGTGATGAGAGACGCATAAGGATCATGCCCAAGTGTCTAAGCGATAGCCGTCGTGGCATTTCCTTTGAGACGCAGGGAAGGAAATGCCACAGGCAAAATGCTCCAAATACCCAACCTGCAACTAAACATTTTTTTAAAATGTTTCAACAATGCTTTTTTTTTTTTGGTTTCTGTGACTAGAGTTCGGCAATTTGGCATTGCTGGGGAAATTGCTTAAGTCGCTTTAGAAATTTATGTTTATAAATAAACAATAAAAGATTGGTTGGAAATATTCCCTAGTCGCTGATTGCCTATAACATTGGTCTCTCTGTACTAAGAATTCTTTTATTTTGTCCCCTGTAATTTCCCACGATTCTTCAAGTTGGTGTTTGCCTGTCAAATGGGTACATTTTCAAAAATGGCCAGTGAATATCTTTGACCAGTAAAATGACTTTCCACATTTTTATAAACATAATTTCGCATGAAAGTTTTATATGCGATCAATGGCTCTTTATCTTTTAAATATTTTCTACGTCAAACTCCATAGAAAATTAAACGGAAGTAAACTGATCGATTCGGATGAATTAACTGATAAATATATGAAGATTTAATGGCAAATTTTAAAACCAAAATATTTGCGAATTTAAGTTAATCTTAACGCTAATTTGAATTAGCGTAAAAAATTTTTAAATGAGTAAAATGATGAATTCTAGTTTAGGAAATCGATAGGGAATTTGACGTCACATATATGATGAAAAAAATCCCCCAAACTTAGTAAAAACAAATCTTTATATTATTATTAAGAAGAAAAACCAAAAGATTTTTAGATTATTAAATTATCTTTTTAGAGCCTTCAAAATTCGGGTTAAATTTTTATTTTTGTCTTTCTTGTCAGCGACTGACCATAAATGAGTATGGGAAATTTTAGCATCTTTTTGCGATGTCGATTTAGAAATTCTTGCAAAAATCAGATAATTGTCTGATTTTAATGAAACTTCCAGGAATTAAATTATTTTAGAATTGTTTATAGAAAATCTTGGTAAAAATATTTTTTCACATCTCCCACTTATTTCATTTTATATTTATTTATATTTATATTAGTTATAATGTCTCCGGAGAATTTAAATCATCACGTACATGAATATTTCAGTTAAGTATCACAAAGTCCAATGCTTATATGTTTCGTATATGTTTCGTATATGTTTCGTATATGTTTCATATATGGGTAGCGCTAAATAACCAGACTTATTGTGGTGATGGTACATAAGGACAAATATCGCGCGCTGCCAATCACCTAGATCACGGGTATTTTACACTGTTTGTATCTACAAACGACCTATCCTCAATATTAAAAATATATATATATATTTCTGTGTGTGGTAATAAATATGCCATTATTGCTTTATTAAAGTTTAAGTTTCCTGTCTCCTGCCAAGGAGAATAGCTTGAAATAACAAAAGGGCCTACGAATAAATTATTGTTGGTAAGGCATAACGTATTCTTGAAAGGTGCGGGATAGAAAATAGCTACCACATTGAAGCTTTGTGATTCTGAGCGAGATAAGAAGAGGGGCGATGTGGAAGTAGGGGTGACTGGTATTCTACTGAAGCCAGATTGGTATTAGGTGTTGATCGGAACGATGAAGGCAAGATGCTGTTAATATTGGGAATGGTATGAATGCATTTTGGTATGGCATGGGAGCTTTAGAAAATTAGACGAAGATTATATTTCTTGTTATTAATAACTGTAGTGACAGTAATATTTATATCGCGCGAACACAGTAACTGTTAGGTTTGTTGGAATCTAAGTATTAATTGGATGTTAGGAACTTGTTCAGACATGCGAAATTCTGTGTAAACTTTATATCTTTTCTTCACTAAGAACCTATTATTTTTTAAGCATAATTTTTGTCTTTTCTTGCAAGACTTTATAGAATTAAATGTGTTACTTGAAAATCAGATTGAAGTAAAAGCCCTAAAGATTTTCATCCAAGAAAGAACTTACTCATACCAATCACCTGTGTTCGAACACGGATCTCACATACCGCATTCAGCGTAAAATTGACTAAGCCCCAACACGCTGATTAAATAGACAGTAACATCAGTAGAGATGGACCGTTATAATAATGAAGATGATTGTCAGATGATAGTAATAAAAGATACATTAAACTGAAAGTAAATGAACCTTGTTCTTGGTGAAGATGAAGTTAGGGGCATAAGTGGGGACAAGTGGGGTTTAAATTTCACGTTTGAAATCTCAGGGGAGGTAACTAATTTTAAAATGTCTGTATGTTTAAAAAAAACTATTAGTTAAAACCTAGATATTTTAAACTATCTACTGTAAACATTTGTGCAGTATTCATAACTAATTTTATTCAGTGTTGGTTTCAACCTTGCAGTACATAACCATAGCGTGTTTCACTTCACAGTTTTAGATGAACACAACAATTTTGTCTAAGAAAAACAATAACACACTGATGATGACATTGTGCTAATGTCGAAAGTACTCAGAATAAAAGAATATTTATCATCGTGGTAATTTTCTCTCTTCCTTTAATAAGGATACTAAGTCCGTCTATATGAGAGGATCCTATTGAAAATAAGTTGACAAAATCTTCGTAAATTATTCAATTAGATATGTCTTAATGAAAACATGCTGCCAACATATACGCAACATATATATATATATATACACACCCTTCCCTATGTGCCATGCGTGAGGCACACTTGAATGATCATATCTGGTTACGAGGTAGTCTGTCCTGCTATTTAACAGGAGGAGGTGAAGAGAAGGATTCATAACTTTCCCAAGGGTATTTGCGCGTAAGTGTATATAAAAATCTCGACTGGAATTCGAACTCTACAAATTCTCCTTCCGTATCGTTATCAATCACACCAACTGCACACCCAAGCTTACAGTACCTAGTATTCCCAAGCGGTCACCCATCTAGTTACCGATCAGGCTCAACGCTGCTTATCTTCAGTGATCGGACGAGAACAGACATTTTAACGTGATATTGCTGTAATATATATATATATATATATATATATATATATATATATATATATATATATATATATCTTCTTATTATCTCCTGAAATATCAAACAGAGTGAAGATCGGTTACTTTGAGCAAATGTAATTAACTTCCTGCTGCGTTGTTAAGTCGTGTTTTTAGAGTGTCACCATCAAAACAGAAAAATATTCCTTTTTTTTTACTGAAACCAAAATAAATTAAATGTACAAACCAGGTGGAATAAAAGAGAAAATAAGCGAATCAGTGTGTAAATAAGAAGCAAATGTGATTGAAGCTCAGAGAAAAAGTTGTGACGAGACTGAAAAATCTCTTTTCAAAAATAAATTGCCTTAAAGGAATTGAGATAGATTCGTATTTCTTTCTGTTAGGCGAGGTACAACTAAGACTTACCAAGTAAATCTTGGTAATTAGTCAAAAAATCTTAACATTATATATATATATATATATATATATATATATATATATATATATATATATATATATATATATACGTGTGTAAATATTCTTGCATGTGTAAATATCAGTATTTGGGTAATGAATATAACCACCTCTGTGTGTTTGTGTCTGTGTGTGGCTGTATATGTTTCGTACGAAGTATTTCCTTAGATTTTTCACTAATAAATTGTAATGCTTCATTATTAACTTCAAAATAATATCGAAGTTATTTTGGGAGAGGTATGTAGCCTCAATGATTCAATTCATAAGAGGTTTGCTGGTATGGCAAAAACTTATAATGTTACTTTGACCCTAGTTAGCATGTGCATTTATGCCAATAAATTTTTATACAACGATGCACACATCATCCCTACACCCCCACATACATACAAGCATATACACTCTCAAATATGCAAATCGTGCAAATACTGAATCAACACTGAATTACTCAACGCTGTATATTGAGTATTCACAAACACACACATATACATATATATATATGTGCGTATGTGTGTATTTGTGTGTGTGTGTGAGAGAGAGAGAGAGAGACAGAGAGAGAGAGTGAAAGTGCGTATGTCATCGTAGAGGTGCCTAGTATCGTACACGATCCCTCTATTCCGGCGAAATGGAGCAATCTGACATTCCACAGGTGGTCGAAAGTGATGTTAAGCTATGCTGTCTCAATTGCTGATATTTTCGTGGGAATAGACCTCTTCCCTACGTTCCATAAATATTCAGATGTGCTAATATAGGGCAATTGTGGTGACCACACCATTCTTCGAAATTCTTCAGAATGCCCCTCTTACCAATTCCCGCAATCTTGGACATGACGCTTTGCTGAAATCGTTGATGTGACACAGGTGCCTTCTATTAGATGTTCCTCGTATGGAACATTGTATTTCGTAGGATATCAAATATATTCATAGCTTACTTACCAGAAATAAAATGAAAGTATGCAAGAATTTGTCCCTGAATCTATTCACCAGTCTACTTCAAGGCTCGAACCATGTTAGTTTATTTAGCGTCACATTTTAAATAAATCACCGAGCTAACTATGAATACAGAATTTTTTATCATCTACAGTATTCATATTTCCTCGAGCAGAAGTGGCATCCGATAATTCTTAATTGGAAATCATTTTTCTCTTACTCTATCGCTACGAACAGTTCTCAGATCCCAACGCCAAAAATTCTCGACATTTTTAGAGGGAATGTTCCAGTTAGATTAAAAAAAATATAAAAATAATTTCTGTCAAATCAATAATTTCAAGATTATGCAGAATTGTATCTCTCCTCTAACATTCTTTAATCTTTATCACAAAAGCAACAAAAATAGCGATAGTAATCCGAATACCTTATGGAATAATAAAAACGCTTCGAAATCTTAGAGACGACAAAGGAGGATTTTTTTCATTCTTGAAATCGGTTCATTTGAAGTCACACATTCTAGTGGACTAACAAACTCATTTCTCAGTCTGTTCTTTTCAAAATGAAAACGTTATGTTCAATGCTCGATTCATTAAACGTGGGAATTTGTTAAAGTAACAACATGATGAACAAAAGTTGTTTTCTTTTTATTGATCTCTGTCACTGTAAACGTGTGAAAAAAACAAGAAAAAATATTGATAACTTCAGAGGTTTAAAATATACACAACTCTATTGTTTATCGTATATCTATAATAAATTTATATAAAACTGGCATCGTAACAAATATTTAAGTTAGTTCTGTTACAAGATACAAGGACTGACACTTGAAAATTATCGCATATGTCAAGGACCTAAAAGCACGTAAATGTTTTTCTAAAGCATGACGAAGATATTATCTTAAGAAGTGAAAATTCCACCCGGGAAGAGATATATGCATTATACAAGAACATTCTATTATTATTATTATTATTATTTCCTTTGATTTCTGTTGTACACACATATCCTTCTGGGTCAGGTCACAAATAGAGACATAAGGTCAGGAATGATTTCATGACAGTTTCTATTGATCATTTGTGAGATGTACTTGTAAGTATTGTTTTTTGTATTTCTTTAAGGAATGGGCTACCAGGTATCCCTTCAATGAGTATATCGAAACCTTTTACAATCAATCAGAGGGCTCCAACTACAACTGGAATTATTGATATTCTCATGTGCCGCATTTTTTAGATTTCCACTTCAATATCCTTCTATTTTGATAGTTTTTTTTTTTTTTTTGAAGATCTTCAAAGATACATTACAATCTGCAGGAACTGCCATAGCAATAAGAAAGCACATTCTGTTTTTGTGGTCTTTGATCACGATGTCTGGGTGATTAGCTTTGTTTGTTCTGTCTGAGTGTATTGTAAAGTCCCATAAAGTTGTTACAATTTCTATTTCTGTAACCGGGTCTGGTTGATGTTTATATCAATGTGTGCTTGGTAATTTCTAGTTTCTTGTCATGTGCAACAAGAATAAAACCTTTGGTTACAGCTTTTAACCATGTACTACGTAAAAACTGATGGATACGGGTTTTGTCTACATCAACTTGTTTTGGCACGGACAGAGTATTGGCCATGAAGAGGCTTATCTAGACATCGTTTTTGCATTTGGTACATGGCAAATGATTTCTTTTTTAGGTTCTTTGCAGCTGCAGTAGGTGTATTATGGTCTACTTACACTTCTTCGCCAAATTGAAATTCCCTTTTGAATTTGTTGGCTTCTTTTATTATTGAATAAAGTTTCTTATTTCTTTCGTGTTCTTTGTTACAGATCAGCATCCAGTTTTCTGTAGTTTTCAGGTATCTTTAAAGACCGATTATTGTGGTTTTGTAAGACAGTTCTTGTTGAACTAATCCTCTGCCTCCTTCGGATCTTGACACATACAGACGATCAACATCAGTCTTAGGATGATGCATGTGGTGTCAAGTGAGAAGCTTTTTCGTACTGACATTCATCAATATCAGCTATGGTCCACTTAAGGGTGTTGAATCCGTATATCACAGGGATAGCCAACGAATTTGTGGCTGATATTCTATTATTATTATAATTATAAGGAAACAAACAAATATAATAATACAATGCGGCAACTAGGCATATGTGTAAGTGCGTGCGTCTGGTGCTTGTGCTAGTAAAAATTCAAATATAAATAAAAAAAATATCTGTCAAAAAATTCAACATTTACTTTTATTCATTTAAATGACATCACTTAGCATCCTCCATAGTTTACCTTGTCTTTCTCAGCCTAAAGAATATTCATGGGCGTTCTTAAATTTAAACATTTTGAAAACATAACGATATTTTTACTTGTTGCAAACCCAAATCCTTACATTTGCTTTGATAACGTCCATCAAAGGATGAAACGCGTCAATAAACCTGTTGTCTTTCTTCATATATATATATATATATATATATATATATATATATATATATATATATATATATATATATACTACCTGCATCATCATCGAGTATTAGACAGCTAAACCAGCTCCTCTGAAAGGCTTTTCCAGAGAAGTCGGTGATTTGACATCTTGAAAAATAAGACCAAAATTCTCCTAGGGAGATATTACACGTGGTTTTCCGTAGCTATGTCTCTAAGAGAAGGATACATTAATATAATACTGTGCAAGCTGCATTTAATCTTAAACAAACGTCTGAGTGTGTTTGCTGTATCTGCTTTAAAATTTTCCTTTTTCTTTTGAACTCTAGTGGCAATGGAAAAGTGGTGTAACGTAAAGATTTGACAGGTTGGAGGTACAGAGCTACTTACTTGCACGTTAGCACCTTGTGTTTATTATAATGTAGTTTCTTTATGAGTAAGTTAAAACTAGGATTTGGTTGAGTCACAAAAGTCTGAGGATCTCTATTTAGGGATGACACTGCACACACAAAGGGATTTGGGGAGTTTCTAGAAAAAGTGAACTAAATATTGCCTTGTTTCATTTATTATATATCATGTCGGTTTCGCGCACCTGGCTAACGTTCATTTTGGCGATGAAAACATAGAGTGAAGCGCGAATTGCTGGTATAAAAATTAGAATGCTGGAACGTAAAAAATCTAATTGATGTTATCATCTATGTGTGTCCCAAGAGGATGACAGCAATCATTGAAGGTATATGTTGGAAGCTGGTGAAAAATTTCAATACCATTGCAGTAGTTTAAACCATCCTCCTCACTTTAGATGATGAGATTAATACCCGCCTACAGAAAGCTACTGAGGCTTTCAAGTCACTTGATGCACGAGTTTGGTCTCAACGAAGCATTTTATCTAGGAATAAGCTAGCAGTCTACAATTCCTGTGTCATTTCAGTCCTCCTATATTTGCGTGAATCGTGGGTTCCCTATGTAAAGATGCATAAAGTAGTTAAAAATTTTCCATTAATGCTATCTCAGAAAAATGATAAATATCATTTGGTCTTGATATTACAGACTCTGTTGTTCTTCAACGAACTCTCGCACAATATGGAGAGACGATTATCCACAAAAATCGTCTTCATTGGATAGGGCATTTGAGAACTTTGGGATGATCCTTTGCCTAATAAAAGATACTATGGAGATTCTGTGGTAAACGACTGCAACA